CAGTCCCTCCCCAGCCCACCCACCCTCTTTTGTTCTTTTTTAGTTGTTTTTGAGACAAGGTCTCAAGTAGCCCCCCCCCCCAGCCCTGGCTGACTTTGGCTTCTGTATTGTAAGCTAGGATGGCCTTAAGCTCCTGATCCTGATGCTCCTGCCTCTGCCTCCTAGGTGCTGGATTTCCAGACACGTGCCACCATGCCCAGCTCAGGTGGAAGGCCCTTCAAGAACTGGAACTTCGTGTAAGTAATTTAGTCATTGGTGGCCCGTCCCTTAGAAGAGATTAACGTATTATTCTCTTGGAAGGTCCTAAGGACTGGATTGTTACTGCCAAGTCTGGGACCTCCCCCAGTATCTTTCTTGCTCCCTGTCTCACCATATACTTTCTTTCTATTGCATATTCATCTACTAGGAGAGCCTCACCAAGGCCGAGTACATACTGGTGCCATGTTCTTTGACCTCCAAAGCCATAACCTGAATTCGCCTCTTTTCTTTATAAAGTACCTAGCCTTGGACATTTTGGTAGAGCAACCAAAAGCACAAACATACCCCTAACAGGAAGCAACTTAAATGCCTAACAATAAGGGAATACATAAACAATATGTTCATATGGGAGACATATTGCTTGTCCCTCAAAACAGACCCACTGGTCCATGCCATAGCATCAGTGAATCTCCTGTATGCATTCCTCAACATGCCACAGACCCTGACTCTACAATGAGAGAATCCCCCCCCCCCTTAAATGCAGTTCTTCTCTCCCTACATTCCTGCTTTCTTCTTTTAAATTCAGTTGCTTGGGGTACAATCAAGATTACCTTCAATGAAATGTACTCACTTTGGTTAGTGACTATGGCTCAGCCGGTAGAACATGTATGTAGAAAGCATGAGGTCCTGGCTTCTCACCAAGGCACTATGGAAAAGCAGGCGTGGTGGTACACAAAAAAAAAAAGTACCCATTTTACATTGCAGTTCAGTCAGTACAGCAAATGTTTACACCTACCAAATCGACTGAGAGCATTTCTAATCCAATTCCCAGAGAGCTTCTTCTAATCCCTTCGGCACGTGTGTCTTCTCTCTGCAAACAACAAAGCTGCTCTCTGAACTATAGATGAGTTTTGCCTTTGTAGGATTTCATAGACATGGTAGTAAATGAATCTTTCACTGAATGGTAGGCTTACGGGGTTTTTCTGCCTTGACCCGCAATCACTGACCATTCTTTTCTTTTTAAATTCGGAATTGACTAGCCTGTGATAAATAACAGAGGTACCTTGGCTAACTTATTCCCTTACCAGCTGATCAGTGCTATGGTCTGAATATGAGGTGACCCCCAGTAGATGCAGGTATTGAGTGCTTGGTACAAGCTGCTGGGGTTATTTTGAGCGTAAGTCGAGGAAGTGACACCTAACAGGAGGATCTAGGCCCCGTGAACGAGTCCTTGTGGATGTATTATGTCCCAACCCCATCCTGTATTCCCTGTTTCCTGCTTCCTGGCCGCCGGGATGTTAACTGCTCTCTTCCACCATTCCCTCTCTGCCATGATCGACAACAGAAACTCTGTGTGTGTGTGTGTGTGTGTGTGTGTGTGTGTGTGTGTGTGTGTGT